TCCGGTCTGTTGATTTGTGTGTAAATATTAAATAACTAATGACACAAAAGAAACATAAGTAGATGTTACAGATTAGGAGGAAACGTAATTCGAAAGTCATCTCATATTGTAAAGGAATATGTCCAACCTCTAATGTTAAATGGTGTGCCCTATTTAAGTTGCACGGTCATTGTAATAAAACAAGATACCATTTTGTAAACAAGAGTCGTTAGAGTGTAAAGGCGAGGGTCACATATGGCAGGTGATGGGAGGGGACTAATCAGAGACAAGGTTACAAAGGACGACGTGTCTAAGCTGGCGGCACTATAAAAGATCGGCTGCTGAGGGACTTAGCACCAGTTAACACTGAACCATCAACATGAAGTTCGTAAGTAGAGCTGATACATGACAGCTATTACTAAAGTTCAAAGAACTGGAAAGTATTTGGTATTACACATTCGACGTTAAGGATTAGAGATCAAGTAATAATTCAGACTACATGAAATGCGTTTTGGATTATAACATTTATGTAATACATTGCAGCTGATCCTCGCCTGTGTTGCCGCCGTGGCCGTCGCCGCTCCCCAGTACAGCTATGGGGTTCCTTCTGCTGAGTCTAGCGAAGAAGTCGCTGCTCCTCAGACCAGCTATGGCGCTCCTCGTGCTGCATCCAGCGAGGAGGTCGAGTTCGTGCCAATCCTCAAGGACGACCGCGTCCACGAGGAAGACGGAACTTACAACTTCGACTTCGAAGCTGCCAACGGCATCCGTTTCTCCCAGGCTGGATCCCCCGACGGTGACGACGACGCCGTGATTAAGGCTGGAGAATACTCGTAAGTCATATTACTGTTTTGTTTTTCCTTCGAATTTATTTGTCCACGATGTAAAAATATATGAGTTGCATATCATTGCCACCTTCTGTATTGGTATCTAATCCCACATTTGAATATGTAACAACAGATACACCGCTCCTGACGGCACCGAAGTCCATGTCAAGTTCGTGGCCAACGAGAACGGCTTCCAGCCCCAGTCCGACGTCCTGCCCGTGGCTCCTGAGTTCCCCCACCCAATCCCTCAGTTCGTCCTCGACCAGATCGCCTTCGCCGCCCAGGAGGACGCCGCCCGCGCCCGCGCTGGTGATGATTCCGACGAAGTTGCTGCCCCATCCACTCTCTACGGCCGCCCCAACTAAATTCACACCTGAACGATGTATTTATTCTATTTATAATAAAAATAGAATTTTCATAATGATTTCTCGTGTTACTGACCTTCTTTACAGTATGTACTTAAAATTACTAATTATTAATGGTACAGCTGTCACATCAGTGTTCATTTTGCTGATTACCATTTACTTCAAACAAAAGATGTCGGTGTTGCTAAATGTTTCATACATTGCCACTAAAATTAAAGTGTGTATGTATATATGCATATATATAGATATTTAGTGATTTATATTATAAGTGTATGTGTAGAGAGAGAGATCTAAATTATACACATACATACTTGCATATATATGTATACTTATATACATACATATATATGTATGTTTATAAATTTACATGTGTGTGTGCATGTGTGTATGTATATATGCGCGTGCGCGAACACACACTCACAAATACCTATATATTTACCGATAAGTGTTTATGGATAGACAAAGAGGTTAATAAATAATGTGTTTTTGCACCATTCAAAAAGTCATAAAATGGAAAACATGGGTTACGAAACAAATGAATGAAAAAAAATCGTAAGGGATACTAATGAAGCGAGGAACCCGGTGCCGGTGAAGAATTAGTGAAGGTGGAAGTTGCGTGTTGTCCAGTTGCCAGGGTAGCGGCTTTGTGAGAAGGGAAGGTCAGTCCAACGATTTATACTTCCTAGGAGGAAACGTATTCCCTCTTCAGATTTATGAACTCTGTTTACCTTGAATTGTAAATTGTGACGTAAATTTACTTGATGGTGAGCAGTTCATTAAAAAGAAGAAGTATACTTATAACACAGAAGTAAACAATGAGGTTCATTTGAGGCATAAAAAAGAAAAGGAAGTGCTCGCTCTTAGAAAGCTTAGGAACATTACGTTTTCCATTTTTTTCACCA